GCTACCTGTGGTTTTCTTGACATGATTTATTCAGTGAGGATCTTCTATTGCCTTCCCCTGAGACTGAGAAAGTATGACTAATGGACTTCCATGGCTGAGCAGGACTCAAACTCTGGATGACCTAGGCAGCACCTGTACTGCAGAAATAAGGCAGTTTGACACTACCTTTATTGTCATGGTTCAATTATATGGAATTCAGGGATCTGTAATTTTCTGAGATATTTAGTCTTTTCTGTCAGAGAACTCTGGTGCCTCAACAAACTAGAAATCTGATTGACTGCATGACAGTTAAAGCGGTGTCAGATTGCATTATTTCTGTAGTGCAGAGGCAGCCCCAGTCCAAGGTTCTGCTCATGCTTCTGCATCTTCATGTTAAGCCATCCTTCTCTCTTTCCTTCTTGTAGCCTGCACCCCCACCTCTCTCTCAGTCTCTCTCTGTGAAAGTCAAATATGTCAAAATCTGTTTATACCTCCTCCACAACTTTCATTCCTGCTGAAGCTAGCAGTAGCTTAACTGTAGGCTGGCTTCTCTCACAAGCTCTGTCTCTGTGTGCTCAGAGTGCATATGTGATACTGTCACTATGAAGCAAACAATGACTCAAATTACACCTCTGGAACCTTGGTTGTAGTGTCTTCTGTATGTGGGCATTTTCTCATGCAGACAGACTTTGTTGTAGTTCTTTACACATGGCCTCCATTCCTAATGGGAATTTTCAGCCTTATTCTTCAAAGTCAGTTGCCTCATGGACTTGTAAGGACTTGATTCTAAGGACTTGTAGGATTGTGTGTGAGGTTACTAAAAGACAGAATTTGCATCCAAACATTTGGAATGATTTACAGTCAATTATTTTTAATAGCATTGGCAATTCTCTCTCCAGTGTTTGCTGGTCTTGCTGTCATTTGCTGTCATGTTGGTGACCCTGTGAATGAGAGACTTTCAAGACTGGCAGCCCTGCTCAGGTTTTGCAAACTCTGAGCCATGGCTTCATTGCTTGACTCAGTCCATCTGTAATGAGTTTTTCCTCTTTTCTTACTGCCTTCTACCTTACAAAACATATTTTTTTCTAATGGGTCATGTCTTCCCATGATATGTCCAAAGTACCATGGCCTCAGTTTAGTCTTGTTGCTTATTTACTTAATTTATATCCCACCTTTTTGTCAATAATTGGACTCAAGTTGTTGTTGCTGTTGTTGTTGTTGTTGTTAACTGCCCTCAAGCTGATCTCAACTCATGGTGACTCTATGGATGAGACATCTGCAAGACCCTCTGTCCTCCACTGCTCTACTTAATTCCTAAAAGTTTCTAACTTTTGTACTGAGTTGTATACCCCTTAATACCCATGACCTCTGTAATAGAGTCTATCCATCTGACATGTAGCTTTCCTCTCTTCCTACTTCCCTCCACCTTTCCCAG